CTTGGGGTCATTAGCCCTTGATGATCAGAGTATGACATTAGCCTTTTGACAACTCTGATTTAGAACCGGTATTGCGTATAGATGCTAACACCCACACGTACACACACTCACACACTCGAGCAAAAATAACAGGACCAATATGAAAGATAATTAACCAAACCACTCTATATCCCCTAACAATGACTTAATTGAGCCTATATAAGAAGTAAGATAGAGCCGGATAGTGTTCTTGCTTTAGTGTTAACGTGAGATTCGAACAAAAATGAAACCCAGCTCTGATGATGTCCATCATATGATGGACGAAAGCTCAGCCCGTTTTCACCTGAAACGAGGGAGGGAATCTCGCGGACTGCTCCAATATGTACATCGTATAAAAGCCAAACGGCAGCAGTGCAACGAGATTCATCTGTCCTCATCTGGTGAGATCGACCAACGAATCTCTTCTTCATGCACTTTCATACGAAATGAAAAGTCCCCCCAATAGAAATGCACAAATCTATCATAGATGCTACCCGTTAGAGTATGAATCGGAAGAGGCCTGGTTCGTCTTGTAATTCTCATCTGTCCTATGACTCACCGGCATCTGTGGCGTATGAGATGGACTTTACGCTCATTTGACTGTGGGAAATGTAATTGACATTCAAACCTCATTTTAGGCTAGCTTATGCTTTACATTCAGTTTGAAAAAGGCCTTAGTGTCTTAGACTCATTATTTGCCCAAATCCACGTATACCCCTCTTTTTCACCTTATTTTTATATAGGTTTTCAAGACTACATGTAGACCATATATATATGAGATGTATTCAACCTACTTCGTTAAGGTGATAAGGGACTGGTAGTTGAATTTTCCCACAATGATATGAGTAGACCTTACGTTTCCATTGCATTTCACATAGCCTTGCTAACAGAAGATATTTTCATCCAAGCTGGACTGGACTCCGCCACGTTGCCAAGACTGCTCATGGGTCACAGGGCAAATGTGAATTTCAAGAAAGGCCAGGCCTTTTTCCACATTACATTTTGTGTTTAAAGTGTCGATAAAACAATGTTGTATTTGCTATTAAATTCAACCACAATACTTATTTTCTACAAGTAGGTTTTCGAGACATACTGTTAGTCTCGAGTCTCGCTTAGGTTACTGAGTATACCCAGGCGAGGTCGAAACTTCAGTCCACTTCTGCCTGGATGAGTATATCTTTAGTGAAGCAAAACTACGTGAAGGCCAATGGAAACGTAAGGTTGACGCATATCCATCCCTTTAAAGAAATAGGGTAAATACATCTTCTTCACTTTACCTGTGCCCTTCTCTATGGAGCTAGTCCTCCAAATCTCATATTGTATCGTGTATTCATGTTATCGTGTTGATTCGTCCTTATCTTCGCAACTTGGTCGGAGCGACATGGAGATCTTTTGGAAAATTCCTAGTTTTTAGTCAATTGCCATAATATTGATAATCATTTTGAGTACATTAAAAGTGTACCAAATAAACGTTCTGATGCTGGAAAGTATTGTGAATTTCAAAGCAGAAGACGCAGGATTCTGTATACTTCAAAAAGTCTCCCTGTAGCCAGATCAAGTTGAGCAGACGAGGTTAACACCTCACTGTACAGCTAAGGGAGACTGCTACCAAACCTAAGGCAACACCATCATGGTATTGATGTGTAATACTTTATTGTTGGACAACCTAAGCCACTCTAGACCGCTTAGGGTTGATTAAGCTTCCCTTCATGGAATGAATGGAAAGCCTCATGATGCCACTTAACTCTATTTTACAAAATTGAAGATATATATATATAAAAGTAAATCTCTCTCTCTATATATATATATATACATATCTATTTATTTATTTTTATTTATTTATTTATTTATTTATTTATTTATTTATTTATTTATTTAT